GCGACACTCTCGCTACAGCGACATATTCTCGCTGCAGCAAGGTCTTCACATTGCAGCAAAAATCTCAGACGAAACTGCACCCTGGTTTCTGTAGAATTTTACTATAGCGAGACCTTCTCGCTATAGCGAGATTGCACCCAAAAATGCACCCCAAACTGTCGCTCTGTCGCTACAGCGATAAGGCGACAGTTTCAATCCTTCCTCTTAGGGCCCTCTCTCTACAGTGAAAACAGCCCAGAATTACTTCTTGCACTTAGGCACTTAGCTCATTTCAGCCATATCCAGTCATACATACACACAATACACATATCCATATACTTCATACACATAAACATCATTATCAAGTAAATCAACACACACATACATATGCATTTAAATTTATATAAATAACAATATTTAATATTATAAAATTCGGGGCGTTACATGTTGTAATACATTGACGAGTGTGATTACAATACATGTGTTGTAATCTATTGATTAATATAGTTATAATGCATGTGTTATAGTATACTAATTGACATGATTATGATATATGAGTTATTCTTATTCTGGTGTGTGTTGTATTAGATAATGTTTCTGGGTTATTTGATTATTTTATAAAATAAAGATTTAGTGGGGCAAAGGATACTTACCCTTACAAATTATTTTTCAAGAAGTAAAATTGAAGAAATAAAAAAAAGTTGATATGTTTTAGGATCATATTCTCAATGACGTTGTAGAAAAGACTACTCTTTTAGAAATTAAACTATTTTTGAAGACTGCAATAATTTTGATTAAGTTTTTATTTAAAGTCGACAAGGATATGTAATCATTTCCATATTATTTATTTTGAATGTATAATATTTTGATAAGTTTTATTGTGATTAATGATTTGAAGTGCGTATGTAATATTTTGTAGTTAAATATTTTAATTGTAGTTTACTTTCACTTTTGAATATAAATTTAATTTGCTAAAAAAAATGTTATTTATATTTTAAACTTATACGTATGTAATATGAATTAAGTAAATCATCAAGATGCAAATTTTAGTTTTTATTCTATTTATAAATTAAAATTTTGAAACTATTCCTTGTAATATTTTTAAAAATTTTGTTAACCTCAACCTTAGGGCTGGGTTTAACAAAACCCTATTTTTAAATGCCTTTGAGTTTTCATAAATTGAATAAAAGAAATGTTAGTTTTTCTTCTTCTTTATAAATTATTATCTATATTAAATAAGAAATTAAGAATCTTACACATTACTTTATATATGCAATGAAACACGTTTACATATACACTCTACTCTATCCGTAGCATCATTATAACATCCTTTGGTAACTTATAAGTAAATTAAAGCTTTAGGTTACTAACTCAAAAGCCATATTGAATGAGAATTCTTAACACAACTTTACTTTATTGTAAACTTAGAGAGTTAAAGCTATACATATATTTTGGATTCAGATCTTCTTCAGTTGTAGTAGGAATTAGACATCCAGTTCTATTTTCGCTTAAACAAAAATGGATTCACTTAAGTGAAAATTAAGAAAATGACCAAAAAAATAAAATTATGCAAAATTAGTTTAAGTAAATTTTTTTGGCTTCAGCAAATCATTTTAACTTAAGCGAATTTTGTGTTTTCTCTCTTAATCTTTTTTTCTCCTTTTTGCCATGCATAACACTCTCTCCTCAACCTCCATATTCAACTATCTTCCTTTTCTTATATCCAACTCTTCACTTCTTTTTCCAACTCCCTTTTCCCTTTACCCCATACCTACCTTCTCTCTTCCTCTTCTCACTCTCACGCAACTCCCATACCCACCTCTCCCTCTTTCTTCTATACGTGACTCTCCACCCTCCTCTCCCTCTACCACCATCCTATATCACCACTCTTCCCATCTCCACCCAACCTCTATCTTCTTAAATCCACAAAATTCGCTTTAGACAAAATAATTCATTCAAGCGAATCTACAAATTTCACTTAAATTAAAAAAATTCGTTTAAGTTAATTGTGCATAATTTTTTTTTTGTTTTCCTTCATTTTCACTTAAACGAGTTTATTTTTGTTTAAGAAAAAATGGAACTGGATGTCTAGTTTTCATCACAACTGAAGATAGGGATGGAAACAAGCTAAGTCAGGCCAAGCTTTACTCTAAACAGGCCTGACCTGTAACATAATTATTAGGCTTGATCCTGGCCTGGCCTGAAGCCTGTTAACAAAGTCTGTTAAAAAAAATTAATATTAATAAAAATATAAATATTTTATTATTAAATTAGTTTATACATTTTTCTAATTTCTATCTATATTCTTAATAATTATTAAATAATTATAATAATATTTATATAATTTTATAAATAGTTTTTAAAATATTATTTAAGTATTAATTATAAATATTTTATATTAATAAAATTTATATTTATATTTTTTTATTTTTTTTTTAAATTATATAAATAGTAAATATTTTAGTTTTATTTTAGAAATATATTTTGTTTATTTAAAGACATCTTATATTCAACAAATAAAGTTATAGTAAATACATAAAATTAATAAAAAAATAACATTCACACAGTTTGTTGAATCAATTAAAAGAAAATTATATGTTTTAAAAAAATAAATTTAAACTTATTGCAATATATATATATATATATATATATATATATAATGACAATAATAATAACTATTAAATTAAAAAAATAATTACAAAAAATAACACTTATAAAATTTATTGAATCAGCTAAAAAAATTATTATATTTTAAAAAGTAAATAAATATCGTTATTATAAAAATTGTAGATGATAAATACTTATATTATAAAATTTATAGATGGAGAAAAACAACATATGAGCATAGGAAGAATTATTAAAATTTATATTTAAATTAAAATAACTTATATTTCCAAATTTTTATCTTAATTAAAAAATATGTGATAAAACTTAATATAAAAATTTAAACTTAATGTACTATATATATATAAAATGAAAACAATAATAACTATTAAATTAAAAAATAATTACAAAATATTTAATTTTATTTGTCTCATTAATTTGTTATTTTAAATTAATAAATAAATGTAAAATTAACTACACTATAATATTAATGTAATATATAAAATATTACTGATACAATAAATTAAAACACATACTTATAAATTACATATAAATTGATAAATTGACTAATAATTTAATTAAAACATGTGTAAGTTATAAAAATATATATTATTATATAATTTATTTATAATTATATTATTTATATTATTTACTAGACAGTCTAATTATATATATATATATATATATATTAATATATATTATAATAAATTTTTTATTTTATTTTGTTATCATTTTTTTAAATAAATTTTTACTTTCAAATAAAATATAATTCAGATTTAAGCAATCTCTATTTATTATAAATAAAAAGAATTATAATATAATATATTAATATAATAATTAAATAATTAAATTAATAATAATAAAATTAAGAGTATTAAAAATATGTTAATATAATTTTATTATTTTATTTTTAAATTTTATTTCGTTTAGTTTTGATTACGTCTTATTCCTGTTCAAAAACTTAACTATTTTTTAAATTATTTAAATATAATAATTTATTATTAAATAAATATATTATTTAAAAGTGTAATCATCTATAAATATTTTTAATTTTAATATAATATAATTTCTGTTTATTATACTTATAAATAAATAAAATTATAACATAGTATATTAATTTAATAATAACAGAATTAAGAATATAAAAATATATTATTAAATAACTTTATTATTTAAATATATTTTGATAGCTCTATTTTTAAATTATAATATATATATATATATATATATATATATATATATATATATATATATTTATACAGGCCGGTCTGTCAGGCTTAACAGGCTTTATAAAAAGCTCAAGTCTGACTTGTTTACTTAAACAAACCTTAAAAAAGGTCTGAGCCTGATTTGTTTATTAAAAAGGTCAGGTCAGGCCAGGCCTAAATCAGACCAGGCTCCTGTCAGGCGGCTTGACCTATTTGCATCCCTAACTGGAGAGGATTTGGATCTATATATCTCATAGAATATCAAATTTATTTATCTGTGGGCAATATTAAAAATATACTGTCATTGGATAAACTTTATGTGATTTTTGTATTAGTTTTATTCAATAATGTGTTGAAAAAAGTAAGAATTTTTTTTTAAAAAATACTAGTATTTTGTATATTATAATATATTTTAAAGCAAAATTTAAAAATAAAAATATTAAAATTTAAGAAATATATAATTAACTTAAATAAATAAAATTAAAAATAAAACATATAAGGAGCCGTTAAAGTTTGAGTTTTGTAAAAAGAAAAATAATCTCTTCCACTAACAAATGATTATTCAAATTTTAGTACTACATGACTATACCTTAGATAAATTCAAGGAAAAGTAAGCATATTTTAGAGGATAGTTGAAAAAAAAAAAATCTAAAGCATAAATTGCTAGCTCTGATAAACAAACAAAAGTTTTAAAATAAATAAAAAAGAAAAAGCATCCTTAAAAAATAGTTAATAACATGAGAATTTTTAAAATAAAAAATATTAAATTTTGATAAAACTAGATGTCATAAGTAGAAAAAGTTATAATTACAAAAATATTTTAAATTTAAAGATAATAATTTATTTATATTTATGCACAACTGCATCAGATACAAATTAAAAAAATCATTAAAAATATTTTTTATATTAAAAATATAAAATTTACTGAAATTTTTTAAATAAGTAAAAATATTTAAGTAAATATATTTAACAATCTCGTAAATACTTAACATTAAAAATCATAAAAATGAAAATAAAAAACCTCATAATCATAAGTTAAAATTTATAGGAAAATATTTGTTATATTCTTTATGGGAGACATTGTTATAATTTTTATATAATTAAATTGTAGTTTTTAGAAGCATAAATATATATAAAAAAGAGAAAAATAAAAATTAACGATTCACATTATGCATATAATGTATAATGAATTTTTACCAGCCCAGTGCGCACCACCACATTTTGGGTGCTCCTTCACCGACTGGAACAGGGAACTTCCCTCACCAACCAACCCGTTATGGCTTCCCTCTCCAAAGGCGATCAGAATCAGGTCTCTCTCTATTCTTGACGTTATGTAATATTAACTTCAACTTCACTTCACCAGTGCTCTTCATTTTTTCTCTCTATCATCACATGAACTTGAACCACTCTTGCTCTTCAGAATATTCTGTGAATTCCAATCGTCGCTTAACTTCCGCTACTAGCTTGAACACTCTTACTTCTTCGATTGTTTCTGTTTCTGTTATTTTTTCATTTTCTTCTTTTTTAAAAAATAAAATTGTCTTAATTATTTTTTGTTTTTGTTTCGACAGGTTCTGGTGGAGCGTAAATCGTGTGCGAGAGTTTTGACATTAAACAGGCCTAAGCAATTGAATGCGCTCTCTTTTTATATGGTATTGATATCCTTTTGTGACATATCTCGATACTTTATCTTGTCACTTTATTTGATGAATTGATTTTACTTTGGAGTAGCACTGGATGGAAAAGATGTATGAAGCTATAACTTGCTTTCACTGGAACGTTTATTATAAACACGTGAAGCTCTGTGTTGAATTTCAAATTATTTGTTATACTCTCTTAGGGTTTTATGATTGTTTTCTCACTGCTGCGGTATACGTTTGGTTGGATTAACGTCAAAATGAAATATAATTCTGAGGACACACATTTGGAAACTGAAGTGGATTTTTCAAATGCTGAGGTTTGGATGGGGGAAATATATTTCTATTTTTGCTTTCTGTTTTAAGTAATGATTACAGAAAAGATGCATTGTTTTTGCTTTGTTTTCTGTTTCTACAGACTTGTGGAAATCTTGTTTTTGCTATTTCTTGTACAAATATTTGAAAACAGGATACGAAACATAAACAAAGTGATGCTTTTGTAATTATTAGTGAAAGTAGAATGAAAATAGGAGATATGTTTACAGATCAAAAGCACCTTATCGTCTTCCACAGTTGCATCTCTGAACTCTGAAAAGTTATTTTTTCTTCTATTTGTGAATATCCATTGCCAATGCCAATTCCATTTCCTATTTTCTTATTTTTATGTGTTCTTCTGTCATCTTGTTGTAGGTGTCTCGGCTGCTGGAAGTTTTTCATGAGGATGAGGGAAACTCTGATGTTAAATTGATTATCGTGAAGGTAATCTTCTTTTGCTGAGCACAATCAATTTAATTTTCTAAAACCTTTTCCTTGATGTTGTGGAAGAGGGGAAAAAAATACTACTAGCAACATTGGAATAACAAACGGTAAACTACTAAGGGGGGCTTTTGGAAATGCTTATGGAAAACTTATAAAATAGCTTGGAACTCTCATAAGCTCATTCTATCTTATTTTAATAAACTTCATGGTATAGCTTATTAAAATAAGTTGTTTTCATCTTTTTCCAATAAGTTTTATGATTAAATTTATGGCATAAGCTCTCTTGTGAAATGAGTTTATTGAATAAGTACCAATGTTACCAATGTTATCAATGGTGGATGGCGGGTTGCATTTACATAAATTAAGTAATGCAATTTTTTATAATCAAGTCTATTTCTCTTCTTTGAATAAATCTGCAATTTAAGTGTAATTAGAAAAGTGTTGATTAATTTCTTTCTAATTTCTAGAAGAAAGTATTAGGTTTGAGAGATGAGAAATTACTTGCTAAAAAATGCTCTAGTTGCGTTCACATCTGAGTATACTACATGTCAAACTCAAAATTTTGATGGCTAGTTGCTATACATTTGGAGTTGAATGGTCGTACATTCTCTACTATTAAGCTATAAAATCAAAGATAAATTATAACCTTAAAAGTCTTAACTATAAATTAACTTGAAATTAAAATATTGAAGCCTTTGATAAATTACTAGGAGCAATACTTTTTCTTTGTAATTTTGTAAAGTTGGACCTAAAGAGATCACTACCATTCTTATAAATTGTTAGTTCAAGTAATATACTTTGTTGCACATCCCAACTCTACATCAACCTCTTGATACAATCATATAATTCATTCGTGACCTTCAAATCAAACTCTATTTGATGGTTGTCTTAATATAACTCCAGATTTAAAATATGTCCAATTGCATGTAAAGGACGATGAAGTTGGCAAATTGATCTTTGTATTTGCTTTTCTTATTTTTGAAAGACTCTTCTTTAGCCTTATTTAGCCTTATCCATTGCTTCATAAATGTGTCCCATAGCTGATCTTTCACCCTCAACCAAATGAAGCACCCGTTCAAGAGGAGCCACAATTTTGAGAATGTAAACCACATAATTCCAAAATGAAGGCATTAATATAATTTTTATGGCTTGTGTTGCAAACCACACAAACGCGAATACAAATATAGGGAACAGGAACAAAAAAAGGCTGTGAATATAGGGAGAATATTGTTTAAAATAAGTAACGGAAACGAACGGAATAAAATGCACTAGAAGAGCAAAATCTCCTAATACCCCAGAGCTAGGCTCCTAATAGAGCAATCGCTGCTCTATCCTGCAATAGCGAAAGAACAGAATCAACATAACATTCTACCCCTGTCTCATCGTGCCTAAATAATGGAATATTATTCTTTCTCCCTAACTAACTTTGCCAGCACAACATTTTATTTGTCATTTTCTGATTTCTTCTTTCTTCTCACATAGACAAGCCATTCTTTGGGCCGTGTAATTGCTTCTTGGACTAACATTTCCTCTGGCCCAACATTGCCTTTTGGGTCCCCATCATTTCCCCCTCCATCAAAAAGAATCTTGTCCTCAAGATGTAGATGTGGAAATTGACTCCGGATGTCAGTTGCATTCTCCCACGTAGCCTCTTCTACTGGTTTGTCTATCCACTGAATCAACCACTGTCTCACCTTTTCACCATGTTTATCAATCACCCTTGAAGCCAACACAGTCTCAGGAGTCCAAATGTCTTCTCCTGTTTCCCCTAGACCTGCAGGTAGTTCAGGTTGCACTCTGTAGTTCCCTACTGCCCTTTTAAGTAATGATACGTGAAAAACTGGGTGTATCCTGCTTGTTTCTGGTAACTTTAGACGATAAGCTACTGCCCCCACCTTACCAATTACTTCAAATGGACCGTCGTACCTTGCTGAGAGCTTGGGATTGATTCTTGTATGAACTGACTTCTGCCTGTGAGGTTTTAGCTTCAAGAACACCCATTCCCCTATGTCAAAACTTCGTTCCTGTCATTTGAGATCTGCTTGAACTTTCATGCGTTCTTGTGCCTTCTGCAATTGTTCTCTCAGCTGTTTCAAAGCTTCATCACGTTCCCATAGTTCCTTCTGTACTGCCTCAACCCTTATTTCTCCTTGAGTTCCCCGGATTAAAGAAGGGGGTTTCCTACCATATACCACTTCGAAAGGAGTGACTTGAGTGGAGGCATGAAATGTGGTATTATACCAATATTCAGCCCACGGAAGCCAATGAACCCACTCTTTAGGCTGATCTGTTATAAAACAATGCAAGTAAGTCTCCAAACACCTATTAATCACCTCGGTTTGACCATCCGTTTGCGGATGGTAGGCCGTGCTCATGCTTAAAGTTGTTCCGTGTAGTCTAAAGAACTCCTTCCAGAATTGACTCATAAAGATGGGGTCTCTGTCACTCACAATTGACTTGGGTACTCCATGTAACCGCACTATTTCACGCACAAACACCTCAGCTAGCACCTTTGCAGTATATGGGTGTTTCAAAGGGATGAAATGACTGTATTTAGATAATCTATCCACCACTACAAAAACAGCTTCATAGCCCTTAGATCGAGGCAGCCCGTAATAAAATCCATTGAAACATCCTCCCAAATTCTTTCCGGTATGGTCAATGGCTGCAACAAACCCCCTGGTGATGTGGCTAGATATTTTTGTCATTGGCACGTATCACATGATCTCACATGCTGTTGTATAGTGTTTTTCATTCCTCTCCAATACAGGTTGGCTGCCATCCTCCGATACGTTCTATAATACCCCGAATGCCCTCCTTGAGGTGTTGAATGATATTCTTCCAATAGCTTTGAGACCCAAGGAGACTTCTCTGAAATAACTAGCCTATCTTTATAAAACAAGATACCTTGTTTGTAGCTGAACCCCGTATGATCCTCTCTCCCTGCTTTCAAATGCTCAATAATCTCCTTTAGCCTATCATCTTCATGCACCTCTGTAATAACTTCTTGGATATCTAACCACAATGGATAATATGTTAACAGTCGTATTTCTCCGGTCTCTTCCTTCCTTGATAAGGCATCTGCCCCTCTATTTTCAATTCCCGGTTTGTACACAATGTCAAAATTATAGCCAAGGAGTTTCACCATCCAATTTTGCTGATTTCCCATGATCACCTTTTGTTGAAGTAGTTGTTTAAGGCTCTTATGATCCGTTGTCACCACGAATTTCCTACCCAGCAGATATGGCCGCCAATGATTAACTGCCAAAGCGATGGCCATTAACTCTTTTTCATATGCTGACTTGCTTAGATTCTTCACCCCCAACGCCTTACTAAAAAACGCGATTGGATGTTTCTTTTGCATAAGAATGGCCCCCACTCCTAATCCAGAAGCATCACACTCCACTGTGAACTCTTCATCAAAATTTGGCAATGCCAACACCGGGGCTGTTGTTATCCGCCTTTTTAGCTCTTCAAAGGCACCTTGAGCTGCTTCATTCCATTTGAACGAATCCTTTTTGGTAAGTTCTGTTAATGGTTTAGCCACCTTCCCATAATCTCTAATAAACTTTCTATAGTATCCCGTGAGGCCGAGAAAACCCCTTACTCCTTTAACATTCCGAGGTTTGGGCCAATTTAACACTCCTTGTACCTTTTCAGGATCTACCGCTACTCCTTGGTTTGAAATGATGTGTCCTAGGTACTCAACACTTTTCTGAGCAAACAAACATTTTTTTTTGTTAGCAAAAAGCTGATGAGTCCTCATAACCTCCAATACGTCCTTTAATTGCTCCAAATGAGATTCCCAACTTGGACTGTAAATTAAGATATCGTCAAAGAAAACCAGCACATATCTTCTGAGCCTTCCATGAAATATGTCGTTCATCAGGGCCTGAAATGTGGATGGTGCATTCATTAGTCCAAAGGGCATTACGAGATATTCGTAATGTCCCTCGTGCGTCCTAAAGGCCGTTTTTGGGATGTCCTCCTCCTGCATTTGCACCTGGTGGTATCCGGATTTAAGGTCCAATTTCGAAAAGAATTTAGCCCCGTGAAGTTCATCCAACAACTCTTCTATCACTGGTATAGGAAATTTGTCCGGAATTGTCACTTTATTCAATGCTCGGTAGTCTACACACATGCGCCACGACTGATCCTTCTTACGAACCAATATAACTGGGCTGGAAAACGCACTTTGGCTGGGACGAATAACTCCGTTTTCTAATAATTCCCTGACCTGCTTCTCTATTTCATCCTTCTGGTGGTATGCGTACCGATATGGACGCACATTTACTGGACCATGGTCAGGTAGAAGAGTTATGCGGTGGGATTGGGCCCTCTTAGGGGGAAGCCCTTTAGGTTCTTGAAAAATAACCTTAAATTTGTTCAAAATTATTTCTAACTCTTCCTTCTGTTGTGAGTTCAGGTGCCTCAACTCTGATTCTTTTCCCTTGGTGTTAGTATCTTTCGCCGCCATCCTTTCGCCAATGCCCCAGTCAAAATCTTCAACCACGACACCCTTTAACGCCATCTGGGCCGAACGCACATTTTGCGCTCCTCGTAACAGCACTAAGGTACCCCCTACATTAATCTGCATTGTTTGGAGTTTCCAATCTACTATCATCTCTCCCAACGATGCTAACCAAGACATCCCTAAAATCATATCCATGTCTTCAAGGTCAAATAGCAAGGCATCCACCACGCAATGCATGCTCCCCAATTCCATCTTAAGCCCTTTACAGATGCCATTTGTTTCGGTTCTTCGCCCATCTCCCATTAGAATCCGCATGTTCTTTGTGGAAACTTTTCTCCATCCCAGCGCCTCAACAAGCCTTCGAGAGATGAAATTATGCGTTGCTCCACTATCAACGAGCACACATACTGGAATTCCATGGATCCTACCTTCCAATTTGAGTGTTTGGGGTTGTTCCCCTTTTGATTGCGATAACAATAACAGACTGAGTGCACTGCACTCCCCATCGTGTTCTTCTTCTTCTTCG